TGTACACTATAGTGCATGTGCACTCCTTACGGACTCTTGGGTCGGACTTATACACACTTCCGGCGGGACTCCTTACGTCATCAGTATTGTCTCGGGTGAGAGCAGACTTATGCCGTTTTACCTACGTCACAGATTGACGGAAAATTCAACAGCAGATAACGGCAAATCGATTTCCAATATTTTATCGGCGCTTTAAAACGTCACCTGCAAGAAACGCTGTATGAAAGCAGACTTAACGTCTACCACCCGTAGTTGCATGAGCTGAAGTCTTGAAATTAGATGATATTGACTGAAAGTTATGCATAGGCGAATTTTTCTACAGCAATTGTCAGGCACACCTTTCAAGCATTTTTCCATCAGAGCATACGATACATAGTGCATTACCCAAGGAAAAATAAATATAATAAAAATTGAAAAACAGGGAAAAAAGTATAAAATTGTTAGCACAATATCTAAATGACTCAGGCTTTCCTTTATTGAGGTTGCCGTCATTGCATTTAGCAAATTAAACGATAAAACTTACAAGTATATTCTCACTCTCTCGAAGCTATAGAAGCAAATAAAACGGGTCCTCGGTGGAAAATTCAACTTCAGTATTTGCAGTTACCTCCCCTACTCCTTGTCGTCGAGAATCATTAGAGTAGCACAATGGGAGTTTTTTTTCCTAAATCTAAAAAAATATCTCTATGTAGATCAATCAAATTTGAAAAAAAAATGATTTAGATTCAGAAATTCTCTACAGCTGGTGTTAGGTAAGATAAAAGTATTTTACTGTGAGTGTTACCTTACAACCGGTGTCAGGTAAGATGTGTACCGCTGTTGAATCGTCAGTGTTACTTTACAACCGGTGTTAGGTAAGATGTGTACCGCTATTGAATTGTCATTGTTACCTCACAGCCGGTGTAAGGTAAGATATATACCACTAGTGTACGGTGAGTGTTACCTAGGTAAGATGTACTTTGCGAACTATGATTGCACAGTGAGTGCACCCTAATGTAAGCGGTGTTCAGTGAGATTAGTACCACTTCCGGTGTTAGGAAAGACATATATCTCTATTGTACTATAAGTGTTACATTAAAGCTAGTGTTAGGTACGCTATATATATATATATATGCCACTATTGCAATTAGAGTGTTACCCTCCTGAAATAACACAGAAAAAAATATGGAAAATCACAATAGTATAATTGCGGCATCTGCCGTAACGTAAGAAAGATGTTTTTGCCTTTAATACTTAAAATGTTAGTCTGTCATACAATAGACGACTACGGTCACGTGACTTGACTAAAAAGGATAAACGATACTTAGACTGAGGCAACATAAGAAGCATATAATTAAAGATACATAAAATTGTTTTCCGTCTATTTGTAAATTTTAAAATAAGAATTAAAAGAACAAAAACAAAACAAATGTACACACACATCCTAAACGATCTAGGGTGACGTCTGTGTTCAAAGGAGACAAAACATTTCAACGGTGGAATCTGTTGACTGATCAGAAGTATACTTAGCTTGAAAAATAACACACAAAAATACAATTAAACTGTTTAGCTCTAAACTTCCCGTCTTTTGTCTTCCAAATTATCTTTAAATTCCCAATTAATAGCATCAATTTAAAAAATTGATAGTAAGATATAATAGGCATTATGTATGTCTTATATAAAACTGAAAAAAACCAGACATGCGGTTAACTTCTGGTCTGTTTGAATTGTTCAAGACAGGCAATAAGATCCGATATTCTGAGTTGAGTGAAAAAAAATTCTGAACATTTTTTCATTTTCGTTTAAGTTTGAAAATTTCTGAAACAGGACAACAGAAAATTAAGTAACCTGATATTCTTTGCCAATAGTTGTCTTTCGAGTTAAATCTAAAACCGACACTGTCAAGAATCTTAGTCACGTCAGTCACGTGATTTTGTGGACACTTGACATTTCCGGTTAATGGAATAAATCCAGTATCTACTTTTGTATGTTGCTATAATAAACAAGTGTACCTGTGTATTAATAATTCGGGACTAAAAATAGATTGGAGAATTGGTAGTGTTACAGTACAGCCCAGAAATAAAGGTTCATTTCAACACGTTACGACAATTCTTGAATAAAAGGAAATGGAGATCACAATTATCATTCATTAAGCGAATTGTATAAATTGAACACGCATCCACCGAAGACCGGAAGTAAATAAGGCAAGCTAAATTCAAGGAGGTAGAAACCCACCATGAAACCGACTCCGGATATGGCTAACTCGAAAGGCAACTATTAGGACAAATCGGAGGAGAATTCTCATCCCAGGAGCATGGCACCAGTAATACTCTATTGCCGGATGCCGTCACCTAGCAACATATACTTTTAGATACTCTTACGTCATATACAGAAATAATCACCGTAACAACATTTGTTTGACGTCATACCCCGTTATCACAGAGTCGATTTTGAGCTTGGAATGTTAAAAGTCTGTGTTTCACGTCACTGGGCAAAGTGATCACATGACCAAAATACAGAACAATGATTGGATTATCTATAAACAACGTGAAGAAATCTTTTGATAAGATGACCCGCAAACGATTTTTGTAAACTTCTTCTTTTAAGTTGCGACACAAACGCTTAAATGAATTGTAGTTACATATATCCAAAACCTTTGGTGTAGATTGTACGTAATAAGACGCTTAAATGAAATAAATACACGAGAGTGTTTTTTAAGATTTGCGCTGCTGTCGGCAAAAGTTTTAAATTCATAAAAATGTAGGAAGTAATGCTACAAAAGATTAACATTTTTTGCTTTGCATAATACTTTAATGTACACACAATACTACGTGTTTGTTGTCGAACTTGTAAGATCATCACGCCAACATGCTGTCACGTTACCAAACACGTGCGTTAGAAAGCGATAATTTAAGTCCTGCAGCTATCGAACGTATCAACACGATAGTGGACAACAATACATCTATAAATAAACCACACGCGCAGCCAGGCAATAAACCAGAGTACACTATAAATATCGTGTTATCACGAGCTTTGTAAAGATGAGAAAGTTTTCACGACCATTTCCAAGCTTAATCTCTCACAGACAACAAACATCACACAATATATTTTTCATCTTTCAAGTACAAAAATCAGCTTTATAAGGCAATAGTATACTGGGATATGCGTTAGCAGATATCACACTATGGCGGTTCCTTGTTAGATGGGGAGGGAATCGTCGGAAGTGGCAGCATGAATTCCATGTATGGGTGCTGCCGGGGGAGAGATTGGAGGGTAAGAAGTAGGGAGGGGCGGAGAGATGGGTAGGAGCAGTCGAGGTTGGTTACTATCAATCCTCGATTCGAGGGAAGGTGAGGGGCGGATAGGGGGCGGGGCGGAGAGGGGGGAGGGTAGGAGGAGTCGTGGTTCGTTTCTACCAATCCCCAATTTGAGGGAGGAGGGGCGGTGAGGGGGGCGGAGAGGGGGGCAGGAGGATTCGAGGTTGGATTCTACCTATCCTCGAGGGCGGTGAGGGGAGGGGCGGATAAGGGGCAGGATGAGTCGAATTGTTTTCTACCTATCGGCGATTGGAGGGGAATTAGAGGTAGGGCGGTGAGGGGGTAGGAGGATAGCCGAAGTTGGTTTCTATCCATTGTCGATTCAAGGGAGGGGGAGGGGCGGAGAGGAGGGCAGAAGCCAAGGTTGGTTTCTACCCATCGCCGATTCAAGGGAGGGGGAGGGGCGGAGAGGAGGGCAGAAGCCAAGGTTGGTTTCTACCCATCGCCGATTCAAGGGAGGGGGAGGGGCAGAATGGGGAGTCGAGGTTGGTTTCTATCTATCTATCTCCAATTCAAGGGGTACTGCAAAATCACCATGATGGAATGGGGTGTGAGTGCGGTGAGTGTGTCTCGGGGTGGTATTACAAGATCCGATGGCCTGTATTGGAACTTATGAGGGGACACATGTATTTACATAAACATCTACACAGTGAGGAAGTCATTTGAAGAACAGACAACAGCTTAACACCGGGAAACAGATTAACTATCATTTTTAGGATCAAATGTACACACACATCCTAAACGATCTAGGATGACGTCTGAGTTCAAAGGAGAAAAACATTTCAACGGTGGAATCTGTTGACTGATCAGAAGTATACTTAGCTTGAAAAATAACACACAAAAATACAATTAAACTGTTTAGCTCTAAACTTCCCGTCTTTTGTCTTCCAAATTATCTTTAAAATCCCAATTAATAGCATAAAATTAAAAACCTCGAGAGTAAGATTGAATTGGTATTAGGTAGATCTTATATAAAACTGAAAAAAAAAATCCCAGACATATGGTTAACTTCCGGTGTGTTGGAATTGTTCAAGACAAACAATAAGATCCGATATCCTGAGTTGAGTGAAAAAAAAATCTGGACATTTTTTCATTTTCGTTTAAATTTGAAAATTTCTGAAACAGAACAACAGAAAATTAAGTAATCTGAAATTCTTTGTCAATAATTGTCTTTCGAGTTAAATCTAAAACCAAACGAGAAATGGGTTCATTTGAAGGACAGGGAAGTTACACGTAACAGAAAGTAGGGGTCAGTTGAGGGTCAGGGAGTTAATTAATACACGGAAAGGTGGGTATCTCAGCGGAAAGGACGCACGTGGGATTAAGTTGAAGTGAGTATGGGTCACTTAGAATGGGGGGAGGTAGAGTTGGTCGTCACTGAAAGGGAGATACTTTTATATGGTGATATTCGAACACAACTTGGGAGATGCTATCACAATGGGAAAGGTATACCGATTCCATCATGGACAGGTAGGATACCAAACAACGGGGAAAGGAAAGACTCACAGATATTGATATATATACCATCCTATTATAAATGTGTTTACTGATTCTGCCTTTATTAATGCATGGAACTTATCACTAGATTATAATGTACACATTTCTTGCCCGTCTACTGATTCGATCATGGATTGGCGATGAAGTAATTAACTGAAATTCATATAATATATTGTTAAAAATAATTTAGAATAGTTATATCTTTTATTAATACATCATCGTTTTAAGGCTACGTAATGTTGAGATTTATTCAGAAGATGATGAGTGATTTAATGATTTCAGAAACAGTGCAGTCACGAGAACGTATTTGTTACATAATAATATCTCGATTATTTATCGCTGTCGAAATAATTGTTTTATGATAGAGATGCCGTATATTCCTTAAGTTCAATATCCGAATATTCGTTTCCATGGCAATTACTTATAGTATGTTCGTTTCACTTTCAGAGGGCTGTCGTTACACACTTGATCTGTGTATTGTAACGGTAACGTTTTACCTAATACCTAACAATACATACACTGCCTCGATGTTTTCAATACAACGAACGTAACGCATAGATAGTTAAACTAGGCCTATAAACTCGGTAAAAATGAGATCTTCCAAACGTTGCTATATCACAACTGTGAAAACTAATATTCGAATATCATTTTCCTACTCGAATACCGCCCTATGGAATGAGTATTCGAATATTCGTTGACATCAATATTTTATACATACAGTGTAATATTTGGATAGCGGATCTATAATCCATTGTATAGGACAGGGGATACAGCGTTTTTACCGTTCAATCAGCATTCCGATATATATATATATAAGCAGACAATAGCGTAACACCTTGGCTGCGGATTCACTATTAAGACGCCCTCTATCCGTGGTATTAGCTCGAGATCTCGATGAAGCACGCGGTACTCTAAAGGCTGTTGTTAATTACAAACTATGCTAGCTATGTTACCTAAGATCCACGTTCGTCAGTGAAAAATAGCTTCATCATGATTACAAATTTCGGGTAAAAATATTTTGGGTAAAATAAACACTTTGCCACTATCGCCCACTCTAGATTCATACCCAGCGCAGTCTATCATCCCCTTCCATACCGGTAGGTTCGGAAGTAGCCTTTTCTTCCACATTTCGGCTTTGTTGCACATAAATTTTATCCTCTTTAATCCATTGGCTAACTGATGGACAGCCAAAATAGAACCGGAAGCGTCCACTACCTTTGCACCAACTTCACGTGCGTACCATATTAACCAGTTATCCACCAGAGGGCGTCCTATTACGAGATCCGGTACAAATTCCCATGGAAACAGTTCGTTCGTTATATAATAATCCCCTGCAAACCCCCAGGACAGTTTTCCGTGAGGAGCTAGTTTCTCTACATCTTTCGTGCCGTTGATTACCGGTTCTTGGAGCTTCGATATATTTACATCTACACGCTTTCCAACGATCAGTAATGGCCCTTTAGAGAATTCCTGATTTTCAGCCACCGCTTCGAGCGTTTTCACTAAACCATCATTGAACACTAAATCCGCATTAGCGTATCCATAAAATTTACTCCTTGCTTTGCCAATCACCTCCTGGAACATTGTTCTAAGAACTGGTGTTCCAAAACACGCCGTACGATCTATTTTCTGCACCTGCCAATTGTGTTGCTTGGCGATGTTTTGAACTTCCGTGTCATTGGAGTATACTAGTGTTGTGACGCTGCGACTTAATGACGCCCAGTTCCTTAAAGCGTTGTGGTACACTACCGGCTTTTGCATCGAAGGGTTCCACGTGGTGAAAAGTGTCAAAAGACTGTCGTTATTAACACGCGCTTCCCACGTTGCGTTGATGTACTTTTGGTAGTCGAAATCCAGTTCAACGTAATGTCTGTGGAACAGCTGAACTGATCTACAGGCCGTGCATTTTAGGTTGAGGTCGGTCCACAGATTGATGAGGCTCAGAATTACAGTCAGGCCTATTAGACACAGAAGAAGACGACGCCATCTTGTTCGTGTGTACGTCAAACGTATCGGTATCATTTGCCAGGGCATTTTATCACAGGACGAGACGTTCTCGGCATCCCGGCGTATCGTTAATAGACTACCAATTAAGGTGTACTCAGATTGGTAATCCAGGGTAATCCACTCACTACAGGACAAGGTGCACTCGCCTTGGTATAACGACGTATCGTCCTCTTATAAAAAAAAACCGAGGCGTACTCTATTGGGAATTCCCCGCAATCACTTCAAATCGAGGTGTACTCGGCTTGGCATCCCCGCGTTCCGTCCACTTACTACAAATGGAGGTGTACTTGGCTGAGCATCCCGGCATTCACTACAGGTCGAGGTAAACTCAGCTTGGCATTTCCGGGTCATTCACAAGACCGTCAATCACGCACCTGGAAATATATATATATATAGGAGTTCAAAATTAAGTACTTGATGCAGCTCTATTCTATGATACTAGTTACAGGTAATACATTAGAATGAATAGGGCAGAATGGAACAATGGGAAACGAAGGCAACATCTGTGAAGTTTCAGAACTTAAAAAAAATCTATAGATACACTAGCATATCAATGAACGTTTCAATGACTAAGGCAGAGCCTGACTGATACTAAATACAAAGGTAGCAGATCGTCCACGATCTATACAATATACAAGCAACAGCGAGACTGACGTTTTACAAGACATCTCTCTGTAAAAATACAAAATTAATGTTGATCGGTGTACACTGTATACAGGCGCAAGGAGCAAGCACAACAAGTTATGATAAGGTTATGGTGATCGTGAACCAACACGACACACAGACAGCAGTAACGATTGTGAATCAACACGACACACAGACAGCAATAACGATTGTGAACCAACACGACACACAGACAGCAATAACGGTCGTGAACCAACACAACACAGAGACAGCAATAACGATCGTGAACCAACACGACACACAGACAGCAATAACGATCGTGAACCAACACTTCACACAGACAGCAATAACGATCGTGAACCAACACGACACACAGACAGCAATAACGATCGTGAACCAACACGACACACAGACAGCAATAACGATCGTGAACCAACACGACACACAGACAGCAATAACGATCGTGAACCAACACGACACACAGACAGCAGTAACGACCGTGAACCATTACGACACACAGACAGCAATAATGTTCGTGAACCAACACCACACACAGACAGCAGTAACGACCATGAACCAACATGACACAGACAGCAATAACGATCGTGAACCAACACGACACACAGACAGCAATAACGATCGTGAACCAACACGACACACAGACAGCAATAACGATCGTGAACCAACATGACACCGACAGCAATAACGATCGTGAACCAACACGACACACAGACAGCAATAACGATCGTGAACAAACACGATACAGACAGCAATAACGATCGTGAACCAACACGACACACAGACAGCAATAACGACCGTGAACCAACATGACACACAGACAGCAATAACGATCGTGAAGCAACACGACACACAGACAGCAATAACGACCGTGAACCAACATGACACAGACAGCAATAACGATCGTGAACCAACACGACACACAGACAGCAATAACGATCGTGAACCAACACGACACACAGACAGCAATAACGACCGTGAACCAACATGACACAGAGAGCAATAACGATCGTGAACCAACACGACACACAGACAGCAATAACGATCGTGAACCAACACGACACAGACAGCAATAACGACCGTGAACCAACACGACACACAGACAGCAATAACGATCGTGAACCAACACGACACACAGACAGCAATAACGATCGTGAACCAACATGACACACAGACAGCAATAATGATCGTGACCCAACACGACACACAGAGAGCAGTAACGTTCGTGAACCAACACGACACACAGACAGCAGTAACGACCGTGAACCAACACGACACACAGACAGCAATAATGATCGTGAACCAACGCGACACACAGACAGCAGTAACGACCGTGAACCAACATAACACCGACAGCAATAACGATTGTGAACCGACAAGGCATACAGACAGCAATAACGATCGTGAACCAACACTTCACACAGACAGCAATAACGATCGTGAACAAACACGATACAGACAGCAGTAACGACCGTGAACCAACACGACACACAGGCAGCAATAACGATCGTGAACCAACACGACACACAGACAGCAATAACGATCCTGAACCAACACGACACACAGACAGCAATAACGATCGTGAACCAACACGACACACAGACAGCAATAACGATCGTGAACCAACACGACACACAGACAGCAATAACGATCGTGAACCAACACGACACACAGACAGCAATAACGACCGTGAACCAACACGACACACAGACAGCAATAACGATCGTGAACCAACATGACACAGACAGCAATAACGATCGTGAACCAACATGACACACAGAGAGCAGTAACGATCGTGAACCAACACGACACTGACAGCAATAACGATCGTGAACAAACACTTCACACAGGCAGCAATAACGATCGTGAACTAACACGACACACAGGCAGCAATAACGATCGTGAACCAACACGACACACAGACAGCAATAATGATCGTGAACAAACACGACACACAGAGAGCAGTAACGATCGTGAACCAACACGACAGACAGCAATAACGATCGTGAACGAACATGACACAGACAGCAATAACGATCGTGAACCAACATGACACACAGAGAGCAGTAACGATCGTGAACCAACACGACACACAGACAGCAATAACGATCGTGAACCAACATGACACAGACAGCAATAACGATCGTGAACCAACACGACACACAGACAGCAATAATGATCGTGACCCAACACGACACACAGAGAGCAGTAACGATCGTGAACCAACACGACACACAGACAGCAATAACGATCGTGAACCAACACGACACACAGACAGCAATAACGATCGTGAACCAACACTTCACACAGACAGCAATAACGGTCGTGAACCAACACGACACACAGACAGCATTATTGATACCTGTAGTATTTAGTTATATTTTGCACAACATACTTGACGAACGTTTACTACATTTGATATTTTCACCAAACAATCTTCCCTTTCCTATAATAACCGTGCTCTGACAACCCTACATTCCGATAATACCCCCACATGGACTACAAAGTATACATAATGTCCCTCATAACCATAGCCCTTCACTATATTCTCATGGGGGAAATTGTTTCTAGATGAAATTAGCCCACAGTAGCGTCTTAAGACTTGGGTTTAAGTTTCTCATCGATTATCGTTTTCCTCCTGTCTCCAGGCTTTTCAAAAGCCAATAACACACTCATTGTTCTGGCGTGGTCCTTCATAACATCAAAGCAGCGAATTAACCCGTTATATAATGTTTCCTCCGTATGTAAAGCCATTCGTTAATAGTTTAAGGTTATCTGTTAAAGACCTTAGAAAAAAGTAATTAAAAACGCGCGCACTCATATACATTTAATCAAAAAAAGATTAATTACTCATCGGTATAGTTGATAAATAATTTATTTCAACCTGCAGCAACTAAACTGTAATGTTAGGGACAATCTCCCCATGCGAGACGAGTGTTGTCGACAGGATATATTTATATAAGCCTCCTTTAAATTTGAAAGTGCTGAACTTAAGCCGACGTTATAGTGTTATCACACTGAAGTATATTGTATACAGCGGAAGGCCATCCCACCGGTCATATTATACTGACTACAGGTGAACCAGTTGTTACACTAACAAAATACCGTGGTCCTATCTTTTGTATCACCTCAGGTGCATCAGCTGCCGAAAACGTGCTGATTATCATCGTCACACCATCACGTTTTTTTCTATTTATAGAATTATCGTTTTAGAGTTTGTAAACGATAGCATTTAACCGGGTTAATGTAAAGGATAAAAAAAATGTTCCTCATTTTTCAATGGATGGAAAGTTACTGTTTTAATCATAGACTACCAGAACAATGTATATTGTGGTATACCTACACAATCACACTAACTGCTCAAGTCAGCGGCAGCAATTTTAATCTGAAGTCAATATATCGTTTAAAACATATTTTGATTCTAAAAAAACAAGGGAATTTTCAAAACCTAACATCACTGTTGACATCATCACACGCTTTGTTGCCCACAAAATTAAGATATTCAGATATCAGACACAGAGGAGATTTTGTATTATGCATTGAAATTATTACTGTGTAATCACACCAGTGAAAATGTCAAATTATCACATTCCTAACTGATTCGTGACAGAATACACAGCCACAAATAAATATAAATAAATCCCTTTCTCCCGGTATAACAAAAACAAACAAAACTTTGATGAAACAACAGAACAAACACTTGTAATAAACACTGGACACGATCATCTATACAGGTAAACACGTGACACTCAATTTATGACAGATTGAACAAAAGCGTGACCTGCAGCCATGTTTGGTTGCCAAGGCAACGCCTGTCGTTTACGTCATATCAACTGACTGGCAGGAATAACGATAATGTAATAACTACAAATCGTGACGTCAACAACGGTTACTTTATACAGAGAATCTTTTGTTCTTTTCGCCCATGAACAAGAAGGAATTATTTAAGTTTGGGACAAAAAATTGTTTCTTTGATAACTCTTTCATATAATCCCCAGAGGACGAAATGAACATGAGGCGAATTCATGTATCATCGTACAAGGGTGAAAATAAACTGGGATGAAAATATTTTGGTATATTCTGGGCCTGTATCCCCGCACCTTGTACACAGGAGCTTGACGAAACGATTCGATCACTCTAAAATTTCTGAAAATGGGTTTTTTTCTAGAATCTACAAACATTTATTTGGACAATTCCACGAAAATGAGAATTATTCATACCAAACTGTATACCCTTCCAGATAGATAATTGTTAAATATCATAATAAACCTCTTCATGTTACAGGCTATATGTTTAGAGCAAAGGGGAAATGAGAAATCCTGGAGTTGTTTTTCCCTTTTCCCAGTATTCTACCGGCAGTATTTCAAAAGACGCCGTTAAAATGTCTTGAACAATTCAACTTACACAATAACTTTGAAAGTTTTACAAATTAAATTACTTTATCAAACTTTATAACACTTAACTACACCATGTGTTTGGTCAAACTCAGCCACAGCACTTTGGTTTAAATATTTTCATATATTCGACCATAATGACCTTGAAAATTCCCGAACGTCATTTATGTTATTCAAAACGAGGCCGGACGGAGGTATGGACGGAAGGATGTCGATTCACAGCAACAGGTCACCAATAACACCGCCCATGTCATTTAGATAGAAAGGTGGGCTTAAATCTTAGACCTTTGAGTTGAGTTACTAGACACAAAAATAGAACTAAAATTCTAAAAATAAAT